GAGACTTTTCCAGAAGGTCTGAGCAGAGAAGGTTAAGGATTTAATTACTGAGGGGGGACTTCAGCAGCGTCTACACACGACTTTCTTAGCTATATATGAACTTTGTTATAAAGAACTGTATTTTGTATGAAACAAAAAACTGCAGCTTATGATTCTTATTAGTTTTCTAGATGCACTGATTTGGGAGGGAACTGAAAAGATTACAGGTGTCTCCTTCAACCCCATTGCTCCCCCACCCACCACGTGGTGCTGTGGACTGTGTTAAAAGCACACAGAACTACACAGGACGTGAAGGAAGCTACCAAACATAAGTGACACAGAGCTGCTTAAGGTAGATAGTGTCTAACACCAGGATATCACAGGGTTACAAGTAAGGAGTGGGCACAGAGAAAGCAGCCAGGAGACAGTTAATGAATGAAGAGCTGAAAATAGAAAGAGTTGGTATATGTTCCTCTTCTCATTGCTGTGGCACAGTTCCGGACAGAAGCAACTCAAGGAAAGATCCAGGACCTCTGCCCATGGACAGCACCGGCCACTTTAGCTCAGCAGAGACAGTCCCTTGCAGGCCTGCCTAGACAGTTGTTTCTATGGTAATTCTAAATCCCATTAAGCTGACAATCAAGATTAAGCATCAAAGTGTGACCCAGAACACATGTGCCTGACCAGTCTGTTCCTGTGACACTCCCCTTGTTAAAAACCCTTGCATGTGCTAGGTGCTGGCTCTCCATCTTTGCACATGGGGTTCGTCTCCCAAGGGCCTCAGCATCATTGCTACACTGACCACTGGGTCTTTTGTTCTCTGCACTGAAGCGTGAGAGACCATTGTCTAAAACATGAAGCTATGCACCTGCCTGGGCTCCCCAGCACAGAACTCCGTGGAAGCAGCACCTGAATTTGAGACAAAGAACACCCGTCTGCAAATGCAGAGCTCAGTGTGAGACGTGCTGGGCCCTCGGCACAGTGCTTAGATGCTGCTGCGGTGTCAGAGGGTCCACAGGCACACTGCTGCTCATGGAATCTGGTTCACTGTTTCCCAAACCGATAACCTCCTTTCCTGGGGCTACCAAATGAATTAATTCTGTAAGTGCAAGGTGCCTGAATTTTTGGCTAGACTACCTCCACCATGGTCTCATCATTTGGTGAGACACAGGACGATGAATGGTGTTATTAAAAGACGACCATGAATGAGCTAAATGGTGCGTTCATTGTATCATCATCCCCATCCTGGCTCTGAATGTACAAAATTCTATTCTAATTCACAGAACTTTCCCACCTAGCCTTCATTTACAGCAAAAGAATTCCCATCATTGGAGATTATTATCTCAATAATTGTTACATATTAGCTCACTAACCAAACAGTAATTTTGTGTGTGACAAGGCTAAGTCTAGGGCTAGGCAAATATCCCACCAACTGAGCTATATTTCCAGTCCCTGTAAATTATGTCATATATACCCATTGTTCCTTCAGGCCATTCTACGCAATGATATATCTTAGGATTACTCTATGTATCTGTTGTATCCTGCCTTTGCTATGACTTTATTAAAAAGTACTTTAACTCTATAATTCTAGGCTTGTCTCATTGAACAGAGGCACAGCCTGAATCATTATACAGTAAACAAAGGGCAAACAACCACAGCTGTCCAGTCATACACCACAGAGTGTGGGACTCTCACTGGTTTTAAAGATCTGCCATTTATATTTATGAATACTCGTGGGGGCCTGTGCGAGTTTATGTGCACCGTGTGTATGCAGATGTCCATGGAGGACAGAAGAGGGCAGCGGATCCCCTGGAAATGGAGTTGCATGCAGTTGTGAGCTGCCTGACATGGATGCTGGGAACCAAATCAGCATCCCACGCAAAAGCAGCATGAGCTACTAACTTCTGAGCCATCTTTCCAGTCTCTGTGGCCTGCTTTTGACAACAGCAACAACAACAACAATATCCGCACCATTTTGTAGCTGGTAACCAGTAACTGAAAATACCTGCAAGTGTCACCATGTCACTTACGTCCTCCCACCAGATATGAGATCATAGATGGCTGCTCAAGGCTGCAGGAAAATGGAGTCATTATTTTGGAAAAAGGATACATGTTTCAATGTTGGCCCCAACAATATAGCCAGTTACATCAAAGTTGATCCGAATAAACTTGCCCTGAAAAGAGAAAAAACTTGAGATAAATAAGGATACAGAGGACCCAAGTATCATAGCAGAACAAGACAATATATCCTCCTCAAAGGCGAAGAGAAACCTCACCAATGTAAAAGAGCAGTGGTAGGATAGACCACTGTCCTACACTGTGATATAACAAATCTAGAAACTGGTAAGAAAGGATAAGATGAGCTGGAGAATACTGCTCGGAGGCCCCGAGCTTGGTTCTAAGAAGGCACATCAGACTCACAACCACCCATAACTCCAGTTTCAGGGTCCCCGCACCCTGCTCTAGCTTCCACCGGCACCCATGCACACGGCACATACACATACAGGAAAAAGATTAGTAAAATTTTAAAAGGTGGAAAAGTAGTAAAGGAATGAACCCCTCCCTACCAGTTAGGACTCGAAAGTCCTCCTAAGTAGTCTGAGGCAGGAGGCATCTCAGAGGAACAGCAAAGCTAGACTCCAACCGTTCGGGCTGAAGTTATAAATGGAAGGAGAACAGAGATCCACGAAAAACTGGAGAGTGAGGAAACCTGAGCAGGCCCAATTATAAAAAGTAGCAAGGCAGGACATTTCTTCCAAAATGCTAAGCAGTTTTATAAACACGAAGCAACTTGACCCGCTATATACCCTTAGGAGAGAACGGGCTGGGGACTAGGGTCAGTCACAGAATGTTGACCCAGCAAGCACAGTTTGCGCCCCAGCATTCCCACCACAAACAGACAGACAAAAACATTTGTAGGGGAGGAAAAAAGAAAAAAAAATTTGGAGCAAGAGAAAACAGGGATTGTTTCATAATTCTTTGATAGTTATTATTAAACTGAGCACCCAAACTAGCAAAGACAGGATAAAAACAAGAGAGGCAGGACTAAGATAAACCTGACTGCAGCTTACTGTATTTATAAGATATAAAAGGCCAAATTAAATACTCGCTAAAACCGGAACATGAGCAATGACTGAGAAGGGCTTATTCTAGAACTGTTAGGAAGTACTGACACTGGTAAATACCACTAATTTCCATCAGTGGGGTCTCAGAGGCCCTCCCCTGAGGGAGCTGCTTCTAAACCTTGGGGGAAATGGAAAAGGCTTTGATTAGTTGCCATATGAATCACATATATACAGTTGCCTTTGGCTTTGGTTCACGGTGAGCCTTATCACATACATTTATATACAAGAACATACAAGACAGACTTCTGGGTTTTCAATAGTTTTCCAGAAAGTTAAAGTGGCTTACAAAAGGCATGTCTAGCCTTCTTTCACACTTTCTTACATACTGAGAAACAGGCTGTGCTGATGTGGATGAGAATGGCCCTCACAGGCCATCTGAATGTTTGGTCCCTAAGTGATGGATTGTTTAGGAAGGATGAGGAGGTGTGTGTCCCTGGGGTAGGCTTTGAGGTTTCAAAAGCCTTGCTTTTTCTACCTGTTTCTAACCTGCAGATCTGAACAAATGTGAGTCCTAGCCACTGCTCCAGTGCCATGACTGCCCACCTGCCTGCCCACCCGCCCGCCACCTCACTCACCAAGATGTGATTCACCCTCTGACAAGCAAGCCCTCAACTAAATGCTTTCTATTAGCTGCCTCGGTCATGGTGTCTGCTCACAGCAACTAAGACATACACCAAGTTAAAGATGATGCACTAGTTACCACATTAGTCTCCCAGGCAATCCCATTATTCTTTTTATTATTTATTTGTATATGTGTGTGTCTACTACGTGGGTTTATGTGTACCACTTGTATGCAAGAGTCCAGAGAAGCCAACAGAAGCTATCAGATTCGTAGGAACTGGAGTTGCAGGTTGTTATGAGCCACTGGACATAGGTGCTAGGAACCAAACTCGGGTCCTCTAGATGAATAGCAAATGCTCTTAACCACTGAACTATCTTTCCAAGCTCCAATCCCAGTATTCTTATAATTTTAAACTTCAGGCATGGGGTGCTGGGGCTTGAACTCAGGGTCTTGAACATGCTAAGCGAGCATGCCATCAACTGGCTCCATCTCCAACTGTGATTTTCATCTCTTTAACATAGCTGATAGTACTTAATAACAATGATCCAATTCCTTGGATGATGAAACAACACAACGTTTCATCACAGAATAAGATCACTAACACTCCATCTGTTTCTAAGATTTAGAAAACGGTTCAGTGGATCCATATGCGAATTACGAGACAGTGCATTTGATTCCATTTTTAAAGATAAGTTTATTTTGTCTTTGTTCCTGGGAAGATTCCCCTCCCCCCCACACTGCAAGAAAGAATAAAGTTAAACCATTACTCCATATGGATAGTTAATGGTTTAAAAACTTCAGAAACTAAAATTGGGTCCTGATGTTATAAAAATTGGTTCAACTTCTCCATAAATTTTCAACAGCTGTTCCAGCCACACAATAGCTCACTGAATTAATTAAGACTTACTATTTTAAGAGACAGTAGTCAAAAGACAATGCTTTTATTCCAAGGCCACAACACATTGCCAGAACTGCCCAAGCAAATAGTCCTCAGGCCTCTTGTTTAAACACTGCAGGAAGGTTCACCAAGATAATCAGTATCACCTATTTCCTACTTAAGAAAACAGTCCAGTCATAAATACATTATATCCAGTAACACAAGCTTACAGCTTACACCAACAGGTCCAACTTCTTTTTATTTTTTTAAATTTTTATTTTAAATCTTTTTGCAACAGATAAGAAATATGAGCAAACAGACGATTAAGACAAAAGACAACTATTAAAAAGAAATCTAGCCAAGCTTATAACCAGCGACAAAACAAGTTATGAAACTAAACACCTACTTAGAACGTTCTATCAATTTGCAAGCAGGAAATAAGTGTGATCGCCAGAGAATCAGATAAGAGCAACAACAATCAGATGTTGTCAGGTCCTGGCTACACAGAAATGCTAATCAGCAAGTCATGCAAGCTCCACTCATCATTTTCTATCTGCCCTCCAGAAGGAGGAACAGGTAAGGATTAACCTCCTGACGATAGGTCCAGCTTCTTTACGGAGTGCGTAACAGCATGCCGCTAACTGAGAGCAGAACGACCACAGGAGTTGCTACATCAGGCCCGGGTACACACCCTAAGAAAACGAAGCTGGTCCACGAGGAACACCTTCATACCCATGCTTATCATGGTGGTATTCACAAGGTCGGGACATGGAGTCAGACTAGGTGCCTGTCAATAGATGTATGTGTAGATATGTACATACCATGGAGTTATGTATATATGTACATACAGTGAAATCATGTGTAGAAAGATACACAGTGCAGTCATGTGCATATGTACATACAGTAGTGTGCATATATACATACAGTGAAGTTATATGTACACACAGTGGAGGTGTGTGCAGATATGTACACACAGTGGAGGTGTGTGCAGATATGTACACACAGTGGAGGTGTGTGCAGATATGTACATACAGTGGAGCTGTGTGCATATGTACATACAGTAGAGTTGTGTGCATATGTACACACAATGGAGTTGTGTGCAGATATGTACATACAGTGGAGCTGTGTGCAGATATGTACATACAGTGGAGCTGTGTGCAGATATGTACATACAGTGGAGTTGTGTGCAGATATGTACATACAGTGGAGCTGTGTGCATATGTACACACAGTGGAGTTGGTGCAGATATGTACACACAGTGGAGTTTGATCTGAGCAGAAAGAAGAATGAAATCATGCACTTTAGGATAATGGTGGGTGGAACTGGAGGGTAACGGTGATACAACTCAACATAGAAAACAGATTTTTAGGGACGAGGAAATGGGTGACTAGAGAAAGGATATCAGACTCCAAAGAGAAATGGAAAAAAATTCAGGTTTTGGCTTTCATAACCGTTAATCTACAAGAGTCTGTTTTAAAATAACTTAGCCATTCAGGTACCTACTCAGGTCAACAATGGCATTCCCGTCATGAGTGCTCCAGTCCCTATCAGTTCCCTAGCTCAGCTTCCTTTTCCTAACTGGGTCCACAGTCTCTCTGCCATTGCAGTGGGGGCCAAGAATGGTCCTTGGGGTGAAGGTAAAGAACCAAGCAGAGTCAGAGGTGGGACTCCAGAGAGGCAGGGATACAGGGGTGAAGGAAGGAGGGAGCGCGAATGCCTCCTCCCCTATGCCTTCTCCACTTCCCCTCAAAAGGAACTAGCCTTTCTAAAACCAGCACAAAGGTAACCGTCAAAGTCCTAGAATCGACTCTATCTCAAAAACATAAAACAACAGTCTTAAGCCAAATGGTAGTCATGCATAGACTCTTAACAATGTGATAAAAGTGAAATTTCAAAACGCAACATTTTACTGAATATCCTCAAATAATCCAAAACTTAAATTTCCCTTAACGTTGAATATCTTGGCAAATTAGGTGAAAAGCAGGCCAGCAGATGTACCATTGTTCAGGTGAGGCTGCCAAGAACTTAGGTGGGGAATGTTTCTAGGGAAACATAAATCCAGACTAAACTGAGAAACAAGAGTCTTAGTTTTATGTGGGTCCTCTATTTCTTAACTATTAAGTGAAAAAACCCATGCTAAACATACCCTCCCCTCCATAAAGTTCAGACTGTGGTACTTCTAATGGTCAACCAGAATCTCACCAATTAAAATAAAAAGCCAAAGGAAAAGGCCACGAATATGACCGTCCTCTGCATAGCAATCAGAGCTATCCTCGGCTGCATGTGCCCTGTGGGAAATGCCTTTTCAGAGTATTCTAAACAGAAACCTGGAACTCTGTCTCCAAGAGAAGCACTTCCCCCTAGCTTAAGGCCTAAACGCTGAACTACACCCCAGCCTTAAAACACAAGTCGTTAGGAATCTCATCTTCACAGGCCAGCTTGCCCCTCTTAACTTCATAAAGAAAATGTCATTATCTTGTTTAGTTAACATTTGTCCTGAGCAGACAAACCTCCGGGAACTTTTCCGGAGTGGCTATCAAGCACCTGGAGTTATTAAGCATAACGGATTATTAGTTAGCAGCCACTTCAGGGGAAGGCAGTTTGTTTTATACTTTGTAATTATTTCCCTTTGCTAGTTTGGCATATAACTCGATCATGCGTGAGCCATGTTTTACTTTAAACACCTGAGCATGGATGGTGATGTACACATACTCCATTTTAAATTCCATTCTCTGAAGCAGCCATTTTCCTTAAACAAAAGAAAGGTCATCCGAGGAGTAGTGGCTAGGGTTTAATCCAAAGGCCAGATGGCCACCTCAGATGTTTCAATTATCCTAATCTCCAAACCACTCTAGAAGCTTTGCTGTTACTAAAATGAGTTTGCATGTGATCCAAGTGGCCTGTTACTTAATGTAATTATTATCAGAAACCACCAGAAAGCACGAACTGTGTGAGGAGTTAAGGACCAACCTAACTAAAAATGCCCACTCTACCTGGGTGTGAAGAAGATGTCAAGACTCCAGGCAGCCCAGGTCTGGCACTTGGAGCTCCGCAGAAGGCTCGGCTCGAAAAGGCTGAGAGTGCATGCAGCGGCTGATCTGGGAATCCACAGGCACAGACTGTACTTCATCTCAGACACGGTCCCATGAGCTACAGGTGACCTTCCAGGGACAGCTTTGGTCAGAGCATTCGGGGCTTTCTAATGTTTGTATTACATGCGAAGGTGTGAACCTGTGACTTCATTTCATTGCAATCCAAGAATCAAATCAGGGAGAGACTCCCTTGTTCTGACTCCTGGGGGCTAATTATCTACCAGAGGGGACAGCAGAGCTGCGAACTGTCAAACTGGCTCAGGTTGGTTAGCAGCAGAACACAATTAATAAAGAAATAATAGCTTTCTGAGAGATCTGTCTGCGGCTTCAAACAACCATGTCAAGCCCAAGTCCTGTTTCAAAGTTTCATTATGAGAAAGCCGTTGTCTATAAATCGCCTCCATCTGGAATGCATCTCACTTCTCATAAACAGGACTGGCCTAACTGTGGATGATTATTTTCATACGGGTAATGCTCTCCTGAAGAATCCCTTAACGCAAACCACATGCTAGCATCTTTAGAAGAAAAGATAGTCCTCAGGAAATTAGCCGGCTATATCAGATCAAAGAAATGGAACCAAATGGCTCCTAAAGCTCACGGAGTTTATAGTCTCAAATATTCTCACTGCACACACATGGCTTGTAAACAGTGACCACATGAGATCTCACTGTGCACACAGCTCATCTGCGTGAGCTCTCTGTGCACACACAGCTTATCTGCGTGAGATCTCACTGTGCACACACAGTTCATCTGCGTGAGCTCTCTGTGCACACACAGTTCATCTGCATGAAATCTCACCGTGCATGCACAGCTCATCTACATGAAATCTCACCATGCACACACAGCTCATCTACATGAAATCTCACTGTGCACACAGTTCATCTGCGTGAGATCTCACTGTGCACACACAGCTCATCTGCGTGAAATCTCACCATGCACACACAGTTCATCTGCGTGAAATCTCACCGTGCACACACAGTTCATCTGCGTGAGCTCTCTGTGCATACACAGTTCATCTGCATGAAATCTCACCGTGCACACACAGCTCATCTTTTAACATTAAATCACATTGAGGATGACCCCAGTCCTAACCCAAGGCCTGTCCTGTCCATGGGGACAAATGCAACCACAGTCCTAAAACAGGAACGTACACATTGTTAGGCTGCAACACAGAGTAAACACTACATGATATGGCATATCACCGAGAATATTAATGATTAAAGGAAAATGAAGGTAAGTCCTACGGGGCAGGACTCTGGTTTGCCCAATGAGACATTCCCCAGGCCTAGAGTGTCACTGGCATTTAGTGGCATTTTGATTAAATGGATCCTATAAATATATCTGCTTATATTGTGAGGCACAGTGCTGGAACCAAGGACACAGTGGGGAACAAGGCAGACAAGGTTCCTCCAGGCTGAGCTCTCGCATTCTCATGGGAGGGATGGCAATCAAAGTAATTGGCTCCTGACTGTGGTGAGAAGATGGAGTGTAATTACTGGCTGCCGTGAGCTGGGAGGGAAATATTCAGGTTGCCAGCAGGAATGACAGAGAACTTCTCAGATGGCGTTCCGACAGCCGGGGAGCTGGGAGTAGCGTGGGCAGAGCTCAAACACACTCTGGAGGGTTAACCAACTGGATTCACTATTAGCTGGGGTATGGGCCAAGTAAAAAGATCTGAATTCCTAGGTATTTTAACTTCCCAGGTTTTTGCTGTTTTTATTTTGCTTTAAGCTTAAGCAACTGTTTGATTCAATGTAAGACACAAGGGAACAAATTCCAAAAGAAGATAAAATTTCATTTAGAGTTTGCTAAACTTTAGAGCTCTAGAAGACGTTCACAGAGATACCAATTCAACAGCAGAATTGCTTGGAAAAGAATAGATGCTTAATATTTAATTGAACTTCACAATAAACCAATACTCAAATTTAAAACTAAGTCATGATCACTGGTTACTTTCAAGTCCTCCGAGAACCAAAGTAAACACCCACAGAGGAATACGGAAAGGGTACCTAACTGGACTGTATTCAATCAGTGACGTTAATTACATAATAATTGTTTGAAATACTAAACTCAGACACCTGTTTTAGTGCTGTGTAGCTAACACCTATGATACTAGTGGAAAACTACTAAACCATGCCTGAGAAACGGAAAACAAATGAAAAAGGAAATCCCCAATACTGTACAAAAAACGTGGACAACTCAGAAATACCTTTGTCTTTTGGCTGAATGAAGGTTATATCTAAGAATACTGCCTTAATCACTCAGGCAGAAACCTGCAGGCGGGAACTGAAGCAGACCACGGAAGGCTGCTGTTTACTGGCTTAGTCAGCTTGCTTTCTTAAGCCTACCTTCCCAGGGATGACACCACTCCAAGTGGGCTGGGCCCTCCCACATCAACCCATCACTAATCAAGGAAATGCCTGCAGACACACCCACAGACCAATCTAAGAAGAGCAATTCCTCCTCCCGCTACTCAGGTGACACTAGCTTGTGTCAAATTGACAAA